ACATATTTTTAATTAACATTAAATATTAATAGAATATATAAATATATATAGATAGAAAATTAAAAACTACATAAACATACAGACACACAAAACAAACAAAGAAACAAATAAATAAATAAAAGTGACAACCACCCAAGAGATTACTTTTAAAAATTAAGACTATTAATATTTAGACTTTTTATTTTATTTTCAAAAACTATAACAGTATCTCAGTGATTCTAAACTAACACTATCTGGTCGACAATTATGTTCAATCATGCAACAAAATGATCATAAAACACAATTTTTTGAGCTGGTTTATTAAAGAAAGCACCAGTCACATTTTTCTCCATGTAAACAGACTTACTTTCCCAAAACATCTTTGATTTGCTTGTTCACCAGTCCATAGTAATGGTCAATTTGTGCCTGCATTAGGAGTGAAAAAGAATAATTACGGCATTCAGGTATACATCATAGGTTTATTGAAGACTCTCATAAATACTTAAACTTAATCAAAAACGACAGCTGCCTGAGCCAGAGGTTATCAATGCCAAACAGACACAGCAAACCTACCTGTTGCTTCTCATAGATCACCGGCCAACTGAAAGCACCTATGAGACCTAAAGAAAAAGCCAATTTTGAAAATTATGGCACATTCTTATAATTCTGACAAGTGCCAATAAACTTCATAAATTGTGTGTCTATTTAAACAAATAGGACTAGAGTCCCAAATGGACTTACCCAAAATAAGAAGGGTAAGACCATTGAACAAGGCACCAACATAGGTCAGGATCCACATCAGAACTGCAAACTGGAAGAAAAGAGGAAACCATGTCAACATACATACAAGAGTAATAGGCCAGAGGAAACACTGTAGTTACATATGAGAAACACATTTCAAAACTTATGCAAGGTGATGATTACTTGAAGGGATATTGATGAGATGATGCGTTAATGACACTCTTACCATTTTTTTATGGTTTAACAAGTGTAAAGAGCTCATATATTGTAAAATCAATCCATCTTTTGGTATAAGAGATTGATGTACTATACAGATATACTGAGCAAAAACATTTAATGAAAAGAAGATACAGCTAGTTATAAAATAGTTGGATGGCTCGATATCAAAGACATTAACACAATATCGTTACTCATTTCACATGTGAAGAGGGCATTTACATAAGAGTATTAAGTTATTCAACAAGGATGCATTAAATAGATAAAAAGTGACAGTTCTGTTCTTTCTAATAAAAAAAAAAAATCTGGTTTCAATCAGTTTCAATCAATCAAGAAAATAAATACATAATCCAGCAACCTTAACCCTAATATTTCTCAACGCTGACAAGAAATGTTATTTGACCAAATCAGCATATTAGTATGATTTCTGTAGGATCATAAATAATGACTGCTGAAAGTTCAACAGTCAACAGTTCTTCTAAACAGTAATAAAATTTCACACTATTACTGTTTTTACTCTCTTTCAAAACAAATGCAGCCTTGGGGAGCAAAACTTTAAATTAGAACCTTTGTGTTTGGGTGACCAATTTTCTTAACTCTCAAGAGTCAGAAAGACGGTCAAAATGGTAATGAAAGCAAAATCATAATTGATAAAAAAAAATGTTTACATCATTAGTGTTTTGAAAGTGTCATTTTAAATGCCTAATAACGGACCATTTTCCTAATTACTGACATTGTAAACTCAATGTTTCACTTGAACTTAATATAGACTTTTTAAAAAAGCAAGCCAACCCCTTTTTTGCAAGCTGACCCAACAAATGGCAGAGCCTGTTCAAAACCCACCGGCACGTAAACGGTCACTCGTAACTGGACACGTCACTCAATATAGCGGTCTGACCACAGAGAGACTGAAGGCTGGGACGGAATCTATCCGTCCAGCTGTGAAAAACCTCAGAAAGGGCAGCGGGGTCAGGCTGTAACTCTATCCATTGCCCATAACCACCGCCCCCTTCACAGGGCAGTAAATCTCCTTACACGGATGCTTCCATTGATCCGTTGGTCAATGCAGCGCCAAGAAAAGCCATGAGGTGCTGATTTAACATTAATGTTACTGGTGCTTTTCCATTACACCACAAACTTTGTTGAGAACACGACGACTCCTTAAAATGCCAGACATCTTGACGCAAGATTGAGGGTGCTTTCACACTTGGTTCGCTTGCCTGGTCCGAACCCGAGTTCGATTGCTCCCCCCTCCGGACTGTGTTCATATGGTTTTATTTGGGTCCGAACCACGGTTTGTTTGCGTCATCAAGCCAGCAGCTGTTTACCCCGTTGCTTAGTAACGATGGCGCAGGAGAAGGCGGCAAATGCATAACATTGCTCTCTGCACTTTTATATATTTACGTTTTTAAACCGTTCGTTTTGTTTACAAAGTTTCGGTACATAACGGCACTTACGTCTGTCTTACGAATGTACTGCAAATGCTCTAAAGAAAGCTTGAAGGCGAACAGAAATGAGATATATAGCTCTCTGCTTGCAGCGCGTCAATCACGCTCGTCAGGAAAGTGAGTGAAACACACAAACACACATTTTTATCAAATAATACGTCATTAATAGCGGTTCACTTCCCGGGATTTGGTACGATTGCGTTCACATCAGCAGCGAACTGTACCGGAGTTCACATGAACCGTACCCCAGACCACCCTTTTTAAGCGGACTCGGGTATGGTTCACAGGTGCGCACCCGAGTTCGGAAGACAGCGTTCACACAAAGACTATAGAATTCACATCATCCAAACGAACCGAACTCTGACGTCAATCGAACCCAGGTGCACACCAAAAGTGCTAGTGTGAAAGCACCCCAAGAAGCACTTATCCCAGGATCCAAACATGTATTTAGTTCTGCTGTAAACCAGATGACTTGTGACCTCTAGTTCTGCTGTTATCAACAATTTAAGGCTTATAGGCCCAGAATGAACTTTCAGAAGCAAGCTCATTATTATTATTATTTTTTTAATGTATATTAATCTATTTTTTATATTATTTAAATGCATTGTTTTTTTGAATGGCCCACTCATCAGAACTGGAATGCCCTCAGCATGGCAACATGGGCATTTAAGCAACAACACGTAGGGAGGTGGGAAGTGTAGCCCAGCTATTCATTCAAGATCATACAGCCTCCCAGCAAACCTTGTCATGTAACGGCGTCTAAAACAGAGAGCATCACATGACTAAAGACTGGCATTCCTCAATGCTATATCACAGCTGATACTTTAACCCTGTCACCTCCAATAAAAAGAGTTGCTGGCTATGGAGAGAGAGAGACAGGTCTCTTTGGTACCATTTCTATCCCGTCAGAGCTCAGTCCAAATCCTCTCGGCCTATTCAACAAAAGCTTCTTTGTGGAGCCGTTCATGACCCGCTCCTGCAACACATGACCAAACACCTCAAACCCTGCCTACCAAAAACACACGCAAGGCCATGTCTCTAATTCAATGCACTGAGGACACAAATCAGTATACACTATGGGAGAGAATACAACAGTAAGGTTGTTAAAAGTTTTTGAAAGAAGTCTTATCAAGGTTGTATTTATTTGATCAAAAATACAATTAAAAGCTAAAAACAAAAAAAATATTACCACCATTTAAAATAACTATTTTCTATATTAATATACGTTAAAATATAATTTATTTCTGTCAAGGCAAAGCTGAATTTTCAGCATCATTACAGCATGATTAATAGAAAGTACAAAAGAATAGCACTTATTTAAAACAGGACCCTTTCGTAACATAATAAATGTCTTAACTGTCACTGATCATTTTAATGCATCCTTGTGGACTAAAATACATTTCTTTCTTTAAAAAAAAAAAAAAAAAAAAAATCTTTACAAAATCCAAAACTTTTGAATGGTAGTGTATGAGCATAATCATTTTGTCTGCTAGAGGAAGAGATGTAATCATGCTATCTGTAACCTCTGTCTATAAGGGTTTGAACTAACATTTGAACATTCACAAAACATAATAACAGCAAACGTTTTGAGATTAATCAATAAAAGGCCACTGATGGCAGGCTGTGTTTTTTGAGTCATTTAA